CATGCCTGCTGGGCTCTTTCCTCCTTCATTCATACCTGCCTTGCCCTTCCTTCCTCTTATCCACCCAATTCCTACTCTTTTTTCAAGGTAGCCCAAGCACACATCCTCTACAATAGCTCCTGTGTTTTATGTGCCAGGAACTATACAAGGTGCTATGGCTACAGCAGTAAACATGGCAGAACCTGTCTGAATCAGCTGCTCTGCTACAATCAGTGCCTTTGTTTATGGTAGCACTTACCACGTAGGGCTGTAATTGCAGGGTCAGTTTAACCATCAGTCCCCCCCACTATAGATAAGCTCTGGGAGCAGACAGCACAGCTTTTTCATTTCTGTGCTTTGCACAGTGACTGTGCAATTAATAATGGTTAAATTATGCCCAAGAAGATACTTTGCATTTTCCTTGTCATGTATTTCATTTATCTGGTTAACCCTGACATTAGCTACTTCTGACATTCCGGAGTATTTACATTCTTATGTAGACAGATCTAAAATAAAATGAGAATGTGCTTATTGAAAATAGCTGCAGTTTCAAAATTAACTACCCCATTTTGCAGGTTATTCACCCTGCAAGAGCTTATGTGCAGCTCCTGTAGTTCCTCATCAAATTCCTTTAAAAAGATGCCAGTGGACTCTCAAGATCCCCCTCGGTTTCCTTACCTGCCAAAAAAAGTCATACATTAAAAGCAAAATACATTGTACTAATATCTACCCTTCTTTTTCATTCTCAAATACAACTTCGCTACACTGTAAACACGTGCCTTTCGCTAACTCACAAACATATTTACCATGTTTTCTTCCTGAAATTTAGAACAATGCCTTGGTGGCTCAGCATTGCTGAGCATTAGCTGCTCCCTATGAGCAAACTTTTTAGATCACTAAAACGCCCTTAGAATGCCAATCTTAACAACTTTTTCTCTCGATTGTACTTTCCTCCTTAATCATATTAAACTCAATATGAGTATCCAAAACTAGTATTTTCAGAAGCATGTGTTTTAGAGAGTTAGGTCTAACACCTTGCTCCTTTGATGTAAAGATTCTTAATAGTCCCTTTCAGATTTCCTAGTGTATTAAAGTGAACTTAACTCCACCAACACAGACCCTCCAGATTCAGTGGCATTCAGAAAGACATTTCATGAGTTTAATTTCCCTCTCAAGAATAGTCCAAGGGCCGGCCCGGTGGCGCACTGCTATAGTGCGCTGCTTGGGAAGTGCAGCGGCGCTCCCGCCGAGAGTTCGGATCCCACATACAGACCGGTTCCCGCTCACTGGCTGAGCGAGGCGTGGGAGCAACACCGAGGGCTGCGATCCCGTTGCCGGTCCCGGTCCAGTACGGGGGCGACACTGAGGGTTGCGATCCGTTGCCGGACATGGAAAAAGACAAAAAAAAAAAAAAAAAAAAAAAAAGAATAGTCCAAGCTGAGTTTTCTTTCTTTCTTTTTATTGTAACAAAATTGATTGTACATATCTGTGAGGTACAGAGTTGAACATCAATATCCACGTGCAATATGTGATGCTCACATCTGAATAATTATTATATTCAATAATATACACTATTATTGCTATTGGTGGCCGTTTACCCATTCCTCCCTTCCCTCTCCCCTCCTAGTAACCCTAGTTGTCCTTTTGAACGTTCAGGGTATTATTGGGAATGTTTTATCTTTCTAATTATGTTTATAATTTTAGCTCTCCCTTATGAGTGAGAACATATGGTATTTCTCTTTCTGTGCCTGGCTTATTTCATGCAATATAATTTTCTGTTAAGTTCATCCATGTTGCTGCGAATGGCAATATTTCATTCTTTTTTTATAGCTGAGTAATATTCCATTGTGTACATATACCACATTTTCCTTATCCAGTTGTCTGATGATGGACATTTATGTTGGCTCCAACTCCTGGCTGTTGTAAATATTGCTGAGACAAACTTGGGAGTGCAGGTATCCCTTCAAAATGATGATTTCCATTCATCTGGGTATATAATCAGCAATGGGATTGCTGGATCATATGGCAGTTCTATCTGAAGTTGTTTAGGGAATCTCCATACCATTTTCAATAATGGCTGCACCAACTTGCAGTCCCACCAACAGTGTAGGAGGGTTCCTCTTTCTCCACATTGTCGCCACCATTTGTTGTTCTCCATCTTTTTGATGTTAGCCAGTCTAACTTGGGTGAGTGGTATCATAATGTGGTTTTGATATGCATTTCCCTGATGCTGAGTGATGTTGAGCATTTTTTATGTGTCTGTTGGCCATTTGCAAATCTTTCTTTGAGAAATGCCTATTCAGTTCCTTTGTCCATTTTTAAATCGGGTTATTTGTTTTTTTACTGTTGAGTTTCTCATATATTTTGGATATTAATCCTTTGTCAGATGCATAGTTTGCAAATATTTCTCCCACACTGTGGATTTCTTGCTGTTGTTTCTTTTGCTGTGTAGAAGCTTTGTAGTTCGATATTATCCCATTTGCTTATTTTTCCTTTTGTTGCTTGTGCTTTTGGGGTCATATTTATAAAATCTTTGCCCAGTCCTACTTCCTGAAGTATTTCCCGTGCATCTTCTTTTAGGAGCTTTATAGTATCTGGTCTTACATTTAAGTTTTTAATCCATTTTGAGTTGAATTTTGTGTATGGTGAGGGGTACAGATCTAGTTTCATTTTTCTACATATGGATATCCAGTTTTCCCAGCACCATTTATTGAAGAGCCAGTCTTTCCTCCAATGTATGTTCTTGTTGCCTTTGTCAAAGATCAGTTGGCTGTAGGTTTGTGGGTTGATTTCTAGGTTCTCTGTTCCATTTGTCTGAGTGTCTGTTTTTATGCCATACTGTTTTGGTAATTATTGCTTTGTAGCATAGTTTTAAGTCAAGTAGTGTTATGCCTCCAGCTTTATGTTTTTTGCTCAAGATTGCCTTGGCTATTTGGGGTCTTCCATTGTTCCATATAAACATTAGGATTGTTTGTTTCTATTTCTGTGAAAAATGTCATTGGTATTTTGATGGGGATTGCATTGAATCTGTAGGTTGCTTTGGGAAGTATGGACATTTTCGTAATGTTGCTTCTTCCAATCCATGAGCAAGGAATGTCTTTCCATCTTTTTGTGTCCTCTTTAATTTCTTTCAACAGTGATTTGCCGTTTTCATTGTAGAGATCTTTCACCTCTTTAATTGATTCCTAGGTTTTTGGGGTTTCTTTGACTGTTGTAGATGGGTTTGCTTCCTTGATTTCTTTTTCTGCTAATTTGTTGTTGGAGTATAAAAACACTACCAATTTTTGTGTGTTGATTTTGTATCCTGCAACTTTACTAGTCATTTATCATCTCTAAGAGCTTTTTTGTAGAGTTTGGGCTGTTCTATATTCAGGATCACGTCATCTGCAAAGAGGAACAATTTGACTTCATCTTTTCCAATCTGGATGCCCTTTATTTCTTGTCTTGCCTGATTGCTCTGGCTAGTGCTTCCAGTACTATGTTGAATAGGAGTGGTGAGAGTGGGCATCCTTGTCTCTTTCCCTTCCTCAAGGGAAAAGCTTTCAGCTTTTCCTCATTCAGGATGATATTGACAAATGGTTTGGCATATATGGCTTTTATTATGTTGAGATACTTTCCTTCTATACCTAACTTACTGAGAGTCTTTATCATGAAGGGATGTTGAATTTTGTCAAATGCTTTTTCTGCATCTATTGAGATAATCATATAGTTTTTGTCCTTGATTTTGTTGATGTGGTGTATCACATTTACTGATTTTAAGCTGAGTTTTCCAAGTTGACTGCAACTCTGCTCCACAGAGGCATTCAAGGACCCAGGTTCCTTCACTTGTGTGGCTCTGCCACCCTTAGGTACTGTGCATTTATTTGTATGATTGGGGCAAGGTCATCACCTTCTCTGGGCTCCAACTGATAGAGAAGGTGAAGGAGACCCACCCATTGTCTTAAGGGTCCTGACTTGATAATGGCATACTTCCCTTCAACTTACATCCCTAGGTGAGAGTCAGGCACTTGACCACATGTGGGGCTGGGGAATGTAGTCACTAACTTGGCAAGAGGGGCTGGGGAATGTAGTCACCAACTAGGGAGCTACATGTTCAGCTATAACTCTATGCTTATGAACAGGACAGCAGATTCTGGTGGACAGCTAGCAATCTGTAGTGAAAAAGAATTTTCTTGTTTTTTTCTATTTTCTAGAAGAACTGTAAAACAATTATCTTCTTTCAAGCAAACCCAACAAGAAAAAAAAAATCAAATTCACATAAAAATGTTAGAGAACTATATTTATTTTAGTACTGAAATAAGCCTGAGAGATCATTTGGTCGTGGGACAATGTGTGACCAGTAGACATTATTTCATTGACTTGTTACTCTTGGTCTTCCCCAAAAGAGCAGGGACTTTATCTTGTTCATTGCTGATCTCACCCTGTAGAATAGTTCTTGACACACAGGAGGTAACAAATCTTTGTTACCAAAATGTAGTGATTTTAAATTATTTTTTGAATTTATCTCCTCCTCTGCCAAGTTACCAGGAGTGGCAGGATATATTTAGAGGATCTAAGTATAGCAAATCTCTTTCATGTTTATGTATAATGAATATAAAATCTAAACACTGGCCAAAGTCCACAAGGAAGTCTGTACAAGCTCATAAATGTCAGTTGGTATTTACACTTCATTTCCAGAGAAAAAGCTATTAGGGGTCTGACCTATGTTTTGCCTTAATTAGGTTTTTTTTAAACAAAGCACTGTCTTGAATTTGACTCCCAGGTGTGAAAAAAAAGCACACTGTGTAATATTAAAAATACCTGTAAAATGCAAATACCTTCATTTGTTGAGAGATATTAAATGGTCTGTGATCAAGGCCTGTCTATTTTTTCAAAGACAGAATTAAACATTTTGTCTCCATTAAAAACAAAAGAATTCAAATTAAGATTACTTATAAATTAAAAATAAATTCTTATTACAGAGAGGGAAATCCACTCCACCAAATGCAGCAGTAAACATTCTTAAAATAAATTCAGTGACCTTTTTAAAAAAGATTACAAAATTGAATTTATTGAGGTTCACACAAGATGCACTTATAAAATTAGTACTGAATGCCATTATAACAGAAGAAATGAACATCATCCTGAATTCCCAACAGCATCTGCTAAGGAAATGAAAATCTTCCGCAAATGACAGCACAATAACAGAGTAAGTCAAGCAGGATTGAAAGATATGTCCAAACCATGTTCTTGCTCTGATCAGGGCTATGTTTGGCAAAGCTGTCCACAAACTAGTCATATTTCCATTGACCACGGACACTATTCCTTTCATTGTTGAAAAGGAGATGGAAAAAATAATTCTAAATTGGGCTCCACTGAAACATACATGAAACAATTAAAAATCTTTTCATTTTTAACTTAAAATATTTCCTGGTTTCATAAGGCATGTCTGTACAGTTTCCTCAACATCAATTTTCAGATTTCTTCAGTTAATGCAAAACATTAAAATTCACTTTTGGATTTCAAATGAACATGCCAAAACATTAAAGCTTGCATTATATTTCACCCAGGAAATAAACAAATCACATAAAATTTGCCTTCTGCACATACATGCCTGAAATATCGGCACAAGAGCTGAACTTCAAAATCAAAACATCAAAGGAAATAACAGTTAATATTACCATCTTCTAGACAATTTTGAAATGAGAAGTGTTTACACATGAAGTTGTAAAATTTTTATAGAGATGCAGAATGGATTCCCAAGATAAAATGGGGTGAATAACTTGTCCTATGATGCAGGCCACAGACCAATAATTAAGCAGAAATGGAATCTTGATCTCAAACAAAACCAAAAAGCACTTTTTGGTTGCTGTTCCCAACATCCACACACAAATAGCCACCCCCATGTCTCAAATACCCCTATTGACTTCACACAAGGTCCTCTACCAATGTCACGGGCCTGTCACACCCCAGCACAGGATATCCAAACAGGACCAACACATTTTATAAGCCCAAGCAAGATGATGCTGCCCAATCCACTTGGAACATTTACTTTAAAACTGATACTTAAACAAATTCAGCGAAAGTGGACAGTTTTGAATTTTGTACATTGACAATTTTCAGCCTCTTAAATACCAAATCCTTTTAGCTGTAATAATTTATGAAGCAATTAGTTTTAAAGCAAAACCAGTTAAGTATACCTTAAAGTTAACACTGCTCTGCTTTTTTCAATATAAAAAGTACCTTTTTGTAATGAAATTTCTATTTCATCCACTGCAATTAAATGACACACAGCTCACATTTCGCTTTAAAGAATAAACTGAAAAATTATGAAACATTTTCTCAGTGATGTATAACCTTCATTAATTAACTTTTTTAAATAAATGAACTGGCTTAGGGGTTTTTGTTGTTGTTGTTTTCTATAAATGCTACTATTCATCATATCTTATTTAAGGTAGCCTTTTATTCTGATTAATTCTGGTACAACTTCAAGGATTATTCTGGTGGTAAGAACATTTATCTTGACATATATTTAGTAATTTTTTTAACGCTTTGGCAGATGAAGTAAAGTTTGAAAGCTGTGAAAATAGTATGAGACTGGAAAGGTAATGTCATGGTAAAAGCTCCACAGTTTTCCTGGTATATCCTTACACTGACAAGGCCTTGAGGCAAAATTCAACATTCTGGAAGCCCAAACTGATAAAGCAAAAGAGATTTTCATGTTGCTTCATTCAGGTCCCAGAAGTGACGCTGCTGCTTGGCCAAGCAGTAGAAAGTTTCATAATCCATCAAGTTTCCCAGAGAGTCAAGGCTGGAGGCTGCTGCTGTTCCATGATCTGACCTTCAGCCAGACCACATTATTGGAAGAAAAATACTAAGATTTGCTTGCCATTAATAATTTAAGTTTTTAAATAAATATTTAAGTGCATTTTTAGCATCTGTCCATCCTGGCAGCACAGCACTTGCTGCCCCACGACCAGCATCTTCAGCACATGGAGCCACACAATTCAGTCAATTCGGTTTCCGCAAATTGTGAACCTGTCTATCTCTAACAAATCTTTCTTTGAGGACCTGTGTTTTAATTCAGAATTTTCCTGCGTTATGTCCTTCTCATCACCATCTGGAGTTGTCAGAAACTGATCAGAACTGCTTGTCACAAGTAACGGTATAACATTTTCCTTTTGATGAACAGGCTGGCTGGTGACTGAAGCAGACAGGTTTTCTTCCATGGACAGGCCTATGGAAAAATACATCCACTGAATTAGAAAAAGATTTCCCCTCAATTTACAATAAATACAAGTTTACCAATATATTGGTACTGAAAAAGTGTCCATTATCCATGCTTTTAGATAAACCAAATGATAACCAAATAGCATGTTGTATAAGCAGCTGTAATTTAAAATGAAAACTTAGAAGCTACACCATTTCTGTTTGTTCATCCAAAATTTTATAGCAGGGCATATTATGTTGATCACATCATACAAATAATACCACCACCCAGTTTTGGAAAAATCAGAACTCCTATATTACAACTCTCTCCTATATAACCAAGTCCTAATATGACTGCTGCCAGACCAGAAAAATTAAGATCGATCTGCTCTTATCCCCCGGACATCACGGAGTGGGCTAAGTAGACTCAGTTTAGGATCCTGCTTTAGTTTTCTCTTCAGCAGTCATTATGACTTGACACAGCACGTATTTCTTTCTTTTCCTCTCCTCCTGACAAACTAGAATAAACTCCACCAGAGCAGAGACATGGACTTTTCCCACCACTGCTGTATCCCCTGGACCTGGAATGCAATAGGTACTCGATAATCATCTAATAAACAATGAATGAATACATGTAAAAACTCAGAGCACTGAGTCATACAGACATGTGATGAGATCTAAAATATAACCATTAAAAAAACCCAAACACCTAAAGTGAAACCAAATCTTTAAAACATTGCTAAATGATGACTGAAGAATGATTTTTTACTAGGTAGAGTTCAGACAATTAACTCTTTGAAAACGATTCAAGGAAGTAATGAAAAGACCCAAACATACCTTGAGAGGATTTACATTTGCTCTGTGATTTACTGGATGGTTTGCCTGGCATGCTGGTTGGGGGAGGATTAAACAACTTTTCTTCCATTTTGGCTTCCTTCACATATTGGCATGATTTCCCCAACAGCACGATGCTATTAAGTACTTTCAGGGATATCAACCTAAACCAGAAACAAAACAGACAACTGCTGTTGAAATTAACCACGAACTCCATCCACTACCATTGCTAATGAGAAGGCGGTGGGCATGGTGAAAGGGGACAGGCCCTTTCAGGCAGAGGACCTGAGTCTGGGGTATATGTTCTCTATGTGAAGCCTGACTTTCCTGAGGCTACTTTACCATGAGGGAAAACTTTTGATAAATTCCTTAGTTCTCATTATAGGAATTAAACCAGTTAGAAGTTTTTCCTGGTACTAAAAAACTAAACATTTATTCTCTTATTACAAAACAAATACAATTAGTACATGCAAAGGGGCAAAAAAGAAAACAATAAAATAACTTAAAATTCCACATCCCAGTGATAATCACTGTAACATCTGGTATATTATCTTTCAGTCGTCATCTGTCCTGAGTACACCTCTATTTGTGCTTTCTCACTGTACAGAAACAGAGTCTATTTTGCAAGGCAGTAAAGGGGTGAAGTTAGGAGCCAAAGCATTGGCCCTGGTTGAAGTGTCCGAGTGGAGTCCTGACTCCATTGCTTAGAGCCTGTATGGACCTGGGCAAGGTACAGAATGGAGACAATCCAGGCAAGGTGCTTAGAGCAGTGCTCAGCAAGAAATGTTAAGCAATTTTGTTATTTTATTATTATTGTTGTTATTTATATAACAATACATATACCATGACTATTTTTCCATATCAGTCAATGTTACTCAGTGACATTATTTTAAGTGGCCTTATAATATTTTACTGTATGGGTTACCATATAACAAAGCCCCCCAAAAGCTGCTATTTCTGGACATTTAGATTATTTCCAATATTTTGTCTCTATTAAAAAAGTTTCTGATTAAGAAAACTTACACTAAATCTGTATTTCTTTCAGATAAATTTCTGGATATATAATTACAGAAGTGTAATTTCTGGGTCAAATGGTATATAATATTTTAAGGCATTTGATATGAATCAGGCATACACTTCCAGAAAAAAAAAAACCTCATGTTGGTATCTTCTCACATATAGTGGGCCTTAAGTGACACAGAATCCAGGACCTAGATGCCAGGTTTAGAACGAGTCAAAAAGTAGATTGCTGTTTTTTGTGCCTGAGATGAAAAGCTGGCACTAACATGAAATTACAAGTCAGTGAGGACAAGTCTGAGGAGGGACTGGATGTGGGCCAAAGCAGGAAGCCTGCAATGTTTCCTTTCCGGTCCCCAGCCCCCCTCCTCCAGGAGCTAAGAATGCAAACATCAAAGACCACACAGATCCATGGCCGCAAGTACCTGCTACCTGTTGTGCACATGACACTTCCAAATTTACCCCTGCTCCAACTTTTCCCCTAAACTCTTCACTCACCCTTTTCACTGCTTCCTTGACACAGCCTAGGGATGTCTGATAGGCACATCAAACTTACCAAATACAAACCACAATTCTTGATTCAAACCCTTCCCTCCTCCACAAAACCTGCAAACCCTCAAATGTATACTTCTCTCACAGGCTTCCCCATCACAGTAAATGGCAATTCCACTACCCTAACTGCTTGGGCCCCAAACTTAGTAATTGTATTTGATTCTTCTTCCATCACATCTCCTGTCCAATCAGTTCATTAGCAAGTCCTGTCCAGCTCCACCAGCAAAATGTACACCCACTGGACAAATCCGTACCACTTTACTGCTACCACTTCCATACCAGCCTTGGTCACCTTTCCCTGGAAGAATAACAACATTGGGTCTGGGCCTGACTACTGCTTCTCCTCCTGCCACGCTCTAGTCCATTCTCCACACAGCAGCTGCTGCAAGAAGCCTGTGGGTCTGGCCATCTTCTGCTCTGAACCTACAGTGGTCTCCCTCCCCCGGGGCCTTCCCATGGCATGTCTGCACGGCCATCCTCTCCCAAGTGCTCTGTGTGGGCTGTGGTGCTGCAGCTGCTCTGGCTCCTGCTGTTCCTCCTGTCAGCCGTGTCTTGTGTCCCCTCTGCAGAGCCTGCTCTCTTCCCAGGCATCTGCACAGCTGAAAAACCAGCTCACCAGAAAGGTTTCCACTGCTGGCTCTTCCTCAGGCAGGCGCCTCTGTCGTTCCCCATCTCCTCACATGATTATGTCTTTCTTCATACCACTTACTACCAACCGTCACCTTAGAGGTACTTTATTGTCTGGTGTTAGGTCTATTTGTCCACCAGAATTTCAGCGACACCAAGGCAGGGTACTTGTCTTCTTTTTGGCTGATCCCTAGACCAGCCTGGGCCCAGCACCCAACACCTAGCAGCGCCCCTGAGGAGTGCAGAATGGATCAGGGAGGGGAGGCCAGTGAGCCTCCCTCCACTGCAGCAACGGTCTGCAGGGAAAGAGACTCAGACTGGGTGTGACGGGGGAAGAAGCAGAGCATTTTATGTCAGGGGCCCAGCTGAATTCTGATTTGCTTTTGCTGAAGGGAGATTCCTGGGTTTGGTGGAATTAATGAACAAAGGTTTCATGGATGACATGGTTTTGAGAATGTTTCTGAAGGAGGAGAGAAGAATCTGGGTATTACCCTGAGACAAGGATAATCAGAATAGATGAGCAGATTGGAAAGGCCAGTGAGCAGATCTGTCTGGCTGGACTATATAGGTGGAGAAGGGATGAGATGCTGGGAGGCAGACGACATGGGAGGGGATATGGATGTCCTGAATTTTAAGTAATTCAGATTAAAGCACATCCCTGGTAAATTATGCACAGGCAACTGTTACTAAACAAAGGTTTTCAGATGTAGCATATACGTGCTTTACTTCCTGATTTGCTTATATCAAAAGAAAAATACTAGAATGGTTAGCTTGTTAAACAAAGAAGGAAGCAATTACATCAGTATCACTTCCATAAACATGGCACAGTGCTATGAACTTTGAGTGGTGTGAAAATTTGTTCCACTAAAGGAGAGGCTCATGTTTTTAATGTCAAAAAACTGAAAAGAGTTTCCTACATACAGTAAAGCGTTCACATGCTCATTCAAATGGAAAATAGGAATGGTGTGCAATCTGATCAGAACCACATCTTCCCTTGTTTGTCACTGATATCAGCTGCAGCACTTCAACACCATTCCAAAGGGCGAGGCCTGAGACGGGCAGGGCGGGTGCTGGGAGTAACGTTCACTACTTAGCGTGCTCAAAGGACAATCGGAAAGCATAGTGACTACTATTGTGTTGCTTCAAAAGAAGCTTCCTGAGCACTTGCTATGTGCCAGGCAGCGTGCTGGGCACCAGGCAGAAAATAATGTAGAATATACACTCAAAACACGAAACTGCAACACCACAGGCATCTCTGGACATCAAACCTCCTCCTACGGGAAGATTCTGTGTGAATCTACTGCTTACTCTAGGTATATCCTCTCACGTTTTTCCTCTTGAGATAGTCAGATCTGATATCTCTTACACATGAATACTTCCTGAGCATAACTCCTGACACATCCTACATAAGCAAGCCTGGACAGGTTTCCGGTTTTCTTTTGGAGTAAGTTAATCTAAAGCTATTTTATCATCAACTCACTTCTTGAGAAAACTAACAATGGCAAGACCATCATTTTATATTGTTGTTTTCTTCAGATCATTTATTACTATCTTATATTGTTTTAGCTCTTCGTTTACTGTTTGTCTTCCCCAACCAGATTGTAAGCTGTATGAGACTAACAAACTTGCACATCAGGTCCAGCCAGCCATAGGCGAAGAAACTACATTCTGCACCACCTTTGGGTTTACATGACACAGGCCTAGAGTGTGCTAAATAATTACATGTGGCAAACATACTAGAAGATCAAAGATATTTTTAAACATTGAAAAATATCTCATTGCAATGACAGACTTTTTCTCATAAACAAAAATACAGGTGAAACCTAAATCATAAGCAAAAAGGGCTTTGAGTAAAAGATTTTATTAAAGATTAAAATAAAATCTAAAGTACTGTTAATACTACCACCAAAAAGCAGTATTTTAATTTAACTGAATCACAAATACACTTGTAGGTACAAGCGGTTAAGAGAGCCCCTGAGACAGAGGGGGGGTAGTATGATTGGGGTGTTAGTAACTTCCATCACATCTTGCATTTATACTTTACTGCATAACTAGAAACATATTCAAGAATAGTTAATCTTACCCAAAATAGAAGAGTATGACACAGGCATAAGACAGGATTCCTTGCACTTTAATTGAGCTTGTTACAACTCTGATGAGCTAGCCAGAAACAAACCAAAACAACAAAAACACACAAACAGAACACACAACCACAGAGATATTAGTTAATATTTAAATAAAAGATTTTTCCATGCTGATTTTAATACTTCAGGTACACACCTGTGGCTTTTGTCTAAATTTAAGAAGGCAGTTCTAGATTTGTTGATTCCTATCAAAATGTGCCTGCATGTAAAATCTTCTGTGGTAGATTTAGATTTGTTCAAGCAAATCCAGGATGCCTGTGGCCAGTGTCACAGTTCAACTATTGCGGACTCTCTGAAGTCAGACACTAAACCTAGCTCACAAACAACATGTTTACTTGTACTGGACACAGATGCAGATCAGCTGGTTTTTACAACAAAAAAATTATCGTGGAAAGTACAAATGAATTTGTCTTGCTACATGCATCTCTACCAAAGCAAGGACTACTTGGTGAGCATTTCCGTTATTCCTGCTTTTTTTTTTTCTTGTCCTTTGTTCTTTGACTCTTTTAAATACCCCTATTAACTCACCGGGAGCACAGAGAAAACAGAACCTTAGGAGGTTTATACTGCTTCAAAAAACTAAACACTATTAAAAAAATTAATTACTTAACAGTTGAAAATTTCTGTCTCTTTTGGATACTTATAGTTAAACACCTATTTTCTTATCTCACAGAAATGCAGGAGTAACAGCATTATCCTTGGAAGTGTGCTGAATAAACCTGGTGGGACTAGTTGAGGGAAAATGATTACACATTACAGGCGCAGCTGTGCCCATATATTAAGGTCTATGGGGACGGCTACATGGAAATGGAGAATCGGGGAGGAGAACTGACCTTGTCTAGTACTGTCAAGTTATCAAAAGGAAGTCTATTAGGGTATCTTAAATAAATACCATAACACACATTGGAAAAGATATTTTAAAAATGCTTTTAATAAACAAGCAACTGGGAGGAGGTATGGGGAATGAATTATCGTATGTTTGATAAAGTTTCACTATGAGAAGAGTGACAGGGAATCCCTCAACTGTCACAGTCTCTAACAGGGAAAGAACTGTTGTACCAGGCATTTGTGATAGAAGTTTATGTGGCTTTAGGATTTTATTCATTGATATGAAAGGCAAACCAATGATCACATTTAAGGCTTAAATGACTTCATTTTTATCTAGTACAGTATTAGGTAACTTTTACAATACACATGCCCAAAGTCTAATGTCTGTGAGAACATAATACATGATTTCTTTGCCTTTTTTTTGAATATGAATTAATTTTAGGACCTAAGGTAACACTTAGAAGCAAGCACTGTCATCCTGTGCCTTAATTAAAGAATTAACTTGATTCCTGAGGACTCGGTACATTCCTCGAGGCTCCCAGATGTCTGGTAAAGCTAGGCACCACTTTGAAGCTCTGTGAGAAGAGTGTGGCACAGGAGATGCACCAGGATTGTTGTGTAACTACATAATCCCCCTCGAGAAGACAGGAGGTCTTCCAGAAGTGTTTTGTTAATCAATTATCAGTTAAGGATGAATCTTTTTGTAAAACAACCATAAAAATTCATTGAAGGAATAAAACAAAGACTGAAAATAGATTTAAAATACCAGATTAAAAAATTTATACAATTATGAATAGGGTTTTCTGGCAAGTAAATTACTAGACAAATAAGTCAATTATTATTTGGCAAAACAGGGCCATTTTAAATCCAACCATTTATTCAATCCTTTAAAAAAAAAAAAAAATCAGGCAATCAAGGTTTACCCTCACACTACACGTATCATGTTTCTGGTTGTAGGGAATAAATGTAGAAGAATTTAATATTTTATCAATCCCTTCAACTTTTACCAAATAATTTTACTATTTAAAATCCTCCATTTTCCCCAAATTCTAGGAGTTACTTTTCCCAAACAAGTTATTAATATATTTAAAAATATTTAGGATGTGGTTATCTGTAAAGTCACAATGAAATTGAAATAACATTAAACTTACTAATTATCCATCATCTAAAAAACGTCTGGCAAACTGGTCTAAAATACAGTTGGCATGACTTAGAACTTCTTAATACAGTGCTTAGCTGATTTGCACAAGACTGCATCATCTATAAGAGATGATGCCCTTTGGCAAAAAGATGGTTGCATTTGTTTTGATGTGGGAATAGGTAGTCAAAAAGGAACATAATCAAGTACAGGTGCAGCCAGCAAATCCTCTTAAATAATATTATTACAGCTTGATTTGGCCAGTAATGATTGGCAAGGCCATTCTGAGAAATTCATTAAAATTCAAAGTTGATAACTTTGGGGGGGGGGGGGGGGGGTTGTTTCAGTAAATTTCAGTGCTATTATTTTTTTTTAATACATGATATTTCATGAGTATAAAAGAAATTTCCATTGTAAAAACATTGGAAAAATTTTAAAAAGTAGTAATTACAATGGATACAGAATATATCTTCATTTGGGCATATCATAATTTATTTAAATTGTTCCATTTGTTTCCAAATGTTTACTAGTATAAATGCCACTGCAATGCATAGCATTGCCCATAAATTATTGTGTGCCTTTTATAACTATTTCCTCAGGATAACAAATTCCTAAATAACTGAAATTACCGCATTAAAGCATGACACTGTCAAACTGCCCTCTAGAACCATTGGATAAATTTACACTGCAACCAATATGCATTACAGTGGCCACATCAATTCCTGCCACCAGTTATTTACATTAAAAAAGAAAAAACCTCTGCCAAATGAGTTAGCAAAAAAGAGCACTCTCACTGTTAGGAAAGCCATTTACATGAAATAGTTCCTTAAAATCACTTATATATTAGATGGCTCAAAATCCAAAAGGATAATGCTATCATTTAAAACAAAACTTTCTTCCAAGTTATTTATCTTTAGTTTTTACATCAAGTCCTTTTGAGACAAACTTATTGATAATCCACTTATTAGTATTTTATAATAATTGCTTTCTCATTATCAAAAAACAGAGAACATATGGACTTACTAAAACAGCTAATGGGAGAGGAATAAAGCCCATTCTCCGTGCTACAGAGTCACTGTAATCAGTATAAGCCTAGACAGAGAAAGAAGAAAAGGATTCAGACTTATGGGATTTAAACAGCATTTGACAAGTACTATTCACTCATCACCAGCAAATGTTCTAAACAGGTGAGGCTACGAGCAGGAAGAGAACCTGACTACTATTACGTAATTTAGTAAAATGATGTGGAAATTCTGTTCAGAAGAAGTTTAAATACAAAGTTGTGTAACTGTTAAAATGCTACGAAAATCAAACACTATTTAATGTTAAGTATTATTATTATTATCATCAGTTTGTAAATGTTTAGTGTCAACAATAAAGATAAGTAGGAAGTTTACGTCTATGTAGTTTTCCCCTAAATAATATTCCATGCTAAATTAAACCATTCTTGAGTTAATTTCAGACTATGCCTTTGATATAATGCTCACATTTTTCTGCCGGCTGCTAACAAGGTCAAAAGCAAGGCTGGCTCTGTATTCACTGTAGACCTAAAGACAAATAACAATGAGATATTAAGTAATACAGTGCAAATATATAATGTGACAAGATTTAGACTTTGAGATAAAAACGGTTAATAATCAACCAGGAACTAGTGCTAATGACCAAGGGGACATCTGGGTATGGCTTCTCTATTTGTTTTCCCACAACTCAGGGTAAAACATAGCCTCAGTCCTCCAGAACTATTACATTTACCGACCTTTTAAAGGTGTCTCTTAAAAGAGAAGTAAATATTCAGTGATTATGATCCTGAGAGTTTAGAATTTGGATAGGAGTGAGAGTTTAAAATTTTTGTAAGTAATGCAATATATACATATAAATTATTATGAAATTTTAAGTTTTATGGACAGTTTAAAAAATTATGATTACTATATATCTAACCATAATAATGACTTCTTAGAAAAATGGATGCTAATGTGCAAGATATAAAACTGAGTTAGGGAACACAGTTATGAAGGCACTTGTAAATTGTCATTTCCACTAAAAACTGCACTACTTGAATTAAGCCTATTAATTTTGATTTCAGATGCTGAGAAAATGATTCTGTGAAAAGGGAATCATTCTATACTTATACTAAGAAAGTTGAGAGAGGAAATGGTGAAATTATTTTATCAATGCTTTATAAAAAGGTGCAAAATCGTATTTTCTTCACATATATTAAATCATTTAGAAGCCCATAATCAAATTAAAATGCAGCAGTTGCAACTGCATTTGGATTTAAATTTTTGTCTTTTGAAATAAAACAATAAGTATCACAGTAAAACTGTTTACTGAAAGTATAATCCAATACAATATAGAAAACTGTTAAACTAATGTTCATTTTGGGACTGAGTAAAGAATGAGAAATGTACTAGGAAACTATCTTATGAGCCTAAAGCCAAAAATCTACTTCTGAAAATTCTACAGAATATCTGGTTACAATATAAAACAAATCTCTAAAAGTTTCAGCACATGCTTAAACCAGAAAAATGTAAGGCTCTTTTAGAACTTGTCAGGAACCTGTTCAAAACTGCACACACAAAATAATCAACTTTTAAATATAAAATATTTTATTTATTTATTTATTACTTTTTAAAGATGACCGGTAAGGGGATCTTAACCCTTGGTTTAGTGTTGTCAGCACCATGCTCAGCCAGTGAGCAAACCGGCCATCCCTATATAGGGATCCGAACCCATGGCCTTGGTGTTATCAGCACCACACACTCCAGAGTGAGCCACAGGCCAGCCGGAAATATAAAATATTTTATTTATTTATTTATTACTTTTTAATGATGACCGGTAAGGGGATCTTAACCCTTGGTTTAGTGTTGTCAGCACCATGCTCAGCCAGTGAGCAAACCGGCCATCCCTATATAGGGATCCGAACCCATGGCCTTGGTGTTATCAGCACCACACACTCCAGAGTGAGCCACAGGCCAGCCCGAAATATAAAATATTTTGAAAACCTAGTCAGAGAGAAAAGTTTTGATGGTCTAATTTTTAAAAGAGAAACAATATGATTTTAAAAACTTTAAACAGATTATGATAGTATTAACAGCTTATGACAATTTTGAGTTAGTGACACCGACCTCAACTACTAGCCACTTACATTTTAACCCAAAAATTTGAAACTAGGACTATTTAATACACTAAAATACTTTCAGTGGTGTAATAATTTTTAGAAACTTAAAATTACAATTCTAACTTTAAAGTAGTAATAATCTCCTATTATCTTCATAAATGCAGTAAACCTAAACTTACTATTCTATAACTTTATAACTCTAAGAAGCAGAAGTAAACTTTAAACATTAAATTGCTTATTAAAATACATACATCGGCTGTAATGTCATTGAACTTGGTGATAAAGGCATGTTTTACAATATCCACAGCAATTTCTGATGCAATCACCATACAGACATCTGGAAACAATACCCAGAGATGATCTGGAAAGCATGGGAAGAGTGAGACAATTAAATCTCTTAATATGAACAGAGTCCATATCATGGGCTAGCACAGAAATCTGAAATCTACACAGGGCAAAACTATAATACTTTCAATAAACAATGATATAGAACTAATTCAACCAATTAAAACCTTTATCAAAAGAGCCATACTTAATCAAGTTAAAGGGTAATTCATTCAACAAATATTCAGTACTTTCTATGTGCCACACGCTACTTTATGTGCAGGCCACAGTGGTGAGCAGAGCCCCTCCCTCCATGGAGCCTACAATCTGGTGGGATGATGAGGTTAAGCAGGCTCCTTAGGAAACCCTTTACTTCTAGGGCTGCCTCAAGGCGACAGTAAATAGCTAGCAATAGCATGCCAATGTCAACTGAGTACTTTTTTACTCTCTTTTATCACTATGATTTAAAGATGTTGATCCATCCTTACTTTCACTGTCATACAGATGTAACTTGTTAAATTTTTGCAACTTTATGATATTTATTAAAATGTCAATTCAGAACTAAGTAACTGATATAAAACCACCCACAGATAACCTCCTAAGACCTTGAAGAAGGATGAAAGAGTAGGACAGAACAAGAAAAAGATGGCTAGGAATACTGACAAGGACCTGGGCAGCCAGAGGAGGGGTGGAGACAAGACAGCCAGGCCATGCACGCTGGCAACACAAGGCGGCTTTTGTGAGTCTGGCATCATGTTGAGGATATGGAAATCAGGGGACCTCTTCCAATGATAAACTCTGCCACTAACTGCTATATGACCTTGGGCAAGTTCCTTAATAATCTAAATTCTAGTTTCCTCATCTATAAAATAAGGATAACAAAAGTGTCTATATGTCATTATTATGTGAATTAAATAAGATAATGGTACACAGCAATGTGCCTGGCATACAAAATGGCTAGTAAGATCCTTATGGCAAGCTTCCATAAAATGGCATTTTGGTCTTAAAAAAAAAAAAAAAAGAAAATTTTTAAAAAACTAAAAAAAAAGTGAAAGAATGATGAATTAATCAATAAAGAAAGTTCTTTTATCATACTATCTGCCACAGCAGTGATAAAGGAAACTTAAGATAATTGGTTGGAAGTCACAGTACAAATGAGTGTGACTACAAACATCTAGTTGTCAGGAGGCTTAGGGATTATTTGTCCTTTGGTGTAACAACCCTGCTTTGGGATTGCTGATCCCAAGTGGACCCCACAGGGATGAGCCACACAGTCCACTCTGCCTTTCGTGGACTCCTGTTAGCTAACTTGGTTATAAACAAATACACCACCATTCATCAAAAGAATCCAGGCACACAAAGAATCTAGGTATGAGTGTGGAGGGAGAGGCTTTCCCGCCACACATCTGGCAGCCTTTGGATCTAATCAGATTAGAATCGAGCCACAGTAAGATATATCATTTGATCTTGTGGTTTCTATAAGAAAATAACTTCTGGGCCGGCCTGGTGGCGCACTGCTACAGTGCGCCGCTTGGGAGTGCGGTGGCGCTCCCGCCGAGGGTTCGGATCCCACATACAGACCGGTTCCCTCTCACTGGCTGAGTGAGGTGCAGGCGCAACACCGAGGGTTGCGATCCCGTTGCCGGTCCGGTCCGGTACGGGCGCGACACTGAGGGTTGCGATCCGTTGCCGGACATGAAAAAAGACAAAAAGGGAAAAAAAAAAAAAAAAAGAAAATAACTTCTGGAAATACATTTCTAAAATCATATATCTCATTTTATATCTGTTTCTGATTTTTTTATAGGTATGTGAAAACTAGCAATGAATTAACATAAATTAACAAAAAGTTATTAGATGCCTATAACATTCATAATACTGGGGATAACAGAAATGCAAAACATGTTCTCATTCCTTAAGAAAAAGGTTGTACAGAAATGTTAGACATAAAAAAGCCTCTAACTTACTTGAGATACCTGAGCAAGTGTTCCTTTGCCCATCTAGCTAACTTCTGCACTTCTGCATCATAATTACCTATCTCCCCTATTCGCCTGTTGAGTCCTACAAATGTCTTAGTACTTTTACATTGGTCACAGCACCTAGCCTTGTGCCTGCTCAGTGAATGTCTGCTAATGGAATGGATGTGAAAATTCATGGCATCTTGACAACTTCCTCTCAGCCTTGATTCAGAGATGCATATATGTAACATTTACAGCTTTACATTTTATTTACTTATTTATTCCTATTCAAAATACTAATTAACAGGCAGTAAATGGGTAAATGACAATCATTAGGGAAGAGCAAAGGTTCTTCTGCACAGCCCCTAAAATGACAACAATCTGACTGTAGTTAGGTAACCACAGCACATGACAGTTAAAAACAGAGGGGCCAAGAGCTGCAGTGCTTATCAGGGCACACTCACCCAGTGCAGCGCGTTGAAGCTTATGGGAAATGGTGGCTCATACCACACACACAGAACATACTTGATCCAGTCTACCTAAACAGGTACTGGCAATACCCAAACAATGGAACAGCTAAGTCTTTTGAAGTTATTTGCAAAATTCATTTTATTCCATGTGAAAGAATAAGTTTGGTTTAAAACACTGTATTTGTTAATAGTTACCTGGATTCCAAGAAAACTGTTCCATGTTTCTTAGACACACTATTAGCAAAAGCACATAATTTGTGAACCGTTCCTTAATATCTGAAAAAAAAATCCAACATATAAGTACCACAGTGCATATAAATAATATAGTAATAATATAAGGGTATTTCAAAAAGTTTGTGAAAAAAATGGAAAGATAATACGAATCTTTCTGTGAACTTTTTGAATTATCCTTGTATATTACATATATAGAACAACTTTTAGTCAGAACATAATTATTATATTACGTATAAATGACTGCAAAATAAATATACTATTTATATATAGCTGGTGCTACACTGGTGAACCATTTATTTCTTTTGCCAACATAATTCTAGTATAAAAATTCCAGTTTTCTACAAACTTCAAAAAATATTAAACCATCAAACTGGTCAGACTGGATCATCAGATTCCTCCAATGGTCTTTGGGGACATACGACAATTGTTTTCACTTTACAGAAGAAGAAAAAATAGAAGCAGAGTAAAATGCAAGACTTTGGGTAACATAAAACTCCTGTATCCCAGACTATTTCTAATCTAGTAAACAGTAAGTATACAAGTACAAACCTGAGGAGTCCTTTAGCTAAGAGAATACTGGTATTACACTAGAATTTTTTAGGGTATATATAAAACTTGAGGAAAAAAGAAACCCCAAATTAGGTTTCATAATGATATTTAACATAAGTGAATAACTACATACTCTGAGATTAGTCAGAATAAATTTAGTAACAACAAATAATTCTTGCTAAAAACCAGTTTACGTATTTCACTTTTAAGTTTATTTATTATTTTTTTTTTACACTCTAAGATGCTGTTGCAGAGCAGTTGAGGGAGATGGGGAGAGGGGAAGGGGAAAGGAAATAGGGTGGGAGAAGGAAGAAGGAGGAGGCCGTGATTGAGACCTGTGACACCCCCCTCATTCCTGCAGAGGACACCAGGGGGCTTCCAGGGGTGGCTCAGTCACTGCTGGGCTGGATGCAGATGTCAGGGGTGTGTGGCTAGAGCCCTGTGCCCCCCAACACCCTCGCTCAGGAGCCTGGGGTGTTTCTGGTGGCAGCTTGCTGGTCATCGCTGAGCTTGCAGATGTCGAGGGGGTGTGGCCGAGGCCCTTAGCCCCCCACTGCCCCAGCTCGGGAGTCCAGGGAGCTTCCTGTGGTGCACATCTCACTTTTTAAGCTGTTATTTTCTCATAGAGTCTAAGATACTAAGTGATAAAGAAATGAAATGGAATAAATCCATGTCTGCAGTGAGGCACACCCACGTGTTTGTCTATTTAATGGTGGAGGCTGTGGCTCGAAACATTCTCTCAAATAACAACCCATCTCAAAAGCTTTTATACCCTCTGATGCCACTTCCCTACTATTCCACTGTCTCAGTTGTTCCGGGTCTCACCCACACCATTCGACTGCGGCTCCTCCTATGATTGCTCTGCATCCCAATTTCACCTTCAAGTCCTTCACAGAACTGTTTTTGCTCCTCTTTACTTATTTTCACCTTTTCCTATTATTCTATAGCAAAATTATTTTTTTTTTTCACAGCAAAACCCTGGTTTCTATAAGTGAGCGGACACTTGTCACCCCTGTGTCTTCCTGAAATCCTTAAACTCTTCCAGTCAGTTGCTGATACCCCTTCTTTTCCAGGGTAGCTCATATTCTTATCTGTGATAGGTCTGAGCTATGCCTTTATTCCCGCTAAGCCCAGTGGGTACATATTACTGTTCTATTTATGAAACTATAGAGTTATTCCTCATGAAACCATGTTTTGGGGTGTGAGCTCATAACACAGTGATTCTCACTCAAGGTGAAGAGCATAGATACATCCCCTTGAAGGGTATAACACAATTGGAAGAAAGTGTATGTGGAAGAATATGTGGAGTTTTCAAGTGCACATATTATGACTAGTTCTAGATCACATGTAATTTATTCTGCAATTTTTAAAAAAGGATATGGGGTAAAGGAAACTAAGAAAAGTCTGCCCTGGAATAATTCTCATCAAAGTGTGACACAAAATGCATTCTCTGTTACTTACCTACAGTTAAAATGTGGATCTTAATTCATGGGATTAATTAAATTTTTCAATGTACCTTTAATTGGAATTCTATACAATTAATTATTTGTAAACAAATTTAACAAAGAAATATACTTATTTTTTACCCCTCCACTAAGTATGGGTATATACTATGAACTTGGTTCATTACAGAATTATCTGGAAAGAAATTACCTTGAAAAATTTAAAACACTATTTGAAACAAGACAACTTCTATGAACTCTAATATAATAAAGCAAAAACAATTGCAGTATGTAAATTAATCATATTTGGTTCTCTAACCATGGCAGTTGCTAGCCTGTAATCATTTCAATTTTAAGGATACAGATAAAAGAAGAAAAAACCGATTAGAAGGTTATTTAAGGCAAAATAGGCTTTAGAAAAGCAGACTATTTCACAACATGGTAGAGATGAATAAAAATTGATAAATTCTGGTAGATAAGTGCAATTTTATTATATGAAGTATGTGAAGGATGGTAAGTTTAAAGATTAAAAAGTAACACCATAAAAAATAAGTATATCTTTTTTATCTTTATTTTTTTAATATCTTTCTTTTATATCTTTATTTCAAGAACTCATCAATCTATGAAAATCAGGCAGTTGTGAATATTAAAGAAAACACTCTTTAATTTTTGTACTTTCAGGGATTTTTTTTACATTTGAATGTTTTACATAAATATTTTGAAGCCAAAATTTGACTTTTAAAAAATGTGAGCTTTACTAAAGTATACTCAAGTTTTAAAAAAGTTTTTCCATAATAAAATGTCTTACGTAAATAAATAAGATTTTTATAAGAAGAGTAGATTCTAACACTGATAACCTAACATATATATGTTAGAGAAATACTGCAATCAATAATATTTTTACATTATATCTTCAAAACAGTCAGGGTTTTGATTAAAACTGAACTCTTACATTGATTAAAAATTAAAACTCTTACCAAAATGGGAATGTTTTCTCTTAACCTTTATGAAGGAGTTTAAAAACGCGGTGATTAATGGTTTTTAAATATTTCTGCTATCCAGATTATTAAGCTCCTTTTTCCCTGCTACATTACTACTAATAGGGATATATATATTTTTTAACACATTTAGTCACATTTCAATGTGTTAGAATATTTTCAGCAGTCATTCAAATTTACTGTAGGTACACAGACTTATGTTAAGAGTTTAAAAATGAAGTCATTTTGAGCTAGAACCTTACTTCAAATCAACCTCACTTGTGATGGATCTTTCTGGATGCACAGTTCACATTATCAGTGGGTAAAAATACTATGCAAAATTTTTCATCTCAAGCATGCAAATCAGAAAGCCCTGGGTTCCACATTCAGCTGGAGCCTACATTAAAATGAAGTGGAAAAAATGATAAATTGTTAAAAGTCTGGTTTTATTAACCAAACTCCATTTCACATGTCCTCAGGCAATTCCTCTAAATAAAATGTACAGTCAGCTAATACTGGGAGGGACAAAGTTACTCTAAAATTTCCAAACAGAGTCTTCCACATTAAACCAGCATTAGGTATTAAATCTTACACTATGTATTTGGCAGCTCAAACTCTAAGGGAGAAAAAATCCATAGGAAAATTGCCATAAGAAAAGAAATAGCTGCTGCTTAAGCACCCTGGCTGACTGGCTCTCACTATGTAGCTGCTGAAGAGAGTAAAGGAGGCAATGTACTCACATTAATAGTGAAAAGCTGAGTAGTATTCCATTGTGTATATACTACTCTGCTATAAAAAAGAATGATGGACCTAGAGAGAATTATATTAAGTGAAACTAGTCTGGCACAGAAAGAGAAATATCACGTTCTCACTTATTTGTGGGAGCTAAAAATAAATAAATAAATAAATAAATACACAACCAACCTGGGGAGGGGAGGGAAGAAGACACAACAATTACAATTCCTTGAAGTTGATACGACAAGTGAACAGATATGAGGTTGTTGGGAGGGAGGTGGGATAGGGAGGAGGGAGGGAGGTTTCGGTAATTGGCCACAGTAATCAACCACATTGTATATTGACAAAATAAAATAAAGTTAAAAAAAAAAGTAAAAAGCTGCTCTCGGTGATTTCTTATCTTTCCATTTAATATCTGAGTATCATATGCAATATTTCTTACTTGGGAGTGAGTTTTAAAAGTTAATTTAGCATAAAGTTAATTTCTTTATTCTATTTATTCTTTATTTATTCCAAAGGGTACAATGCAGACCACCTTGCACTGTAAGATGAACTTCTTACATCAATAAGTAAAACTGTTTCGGTGCTGATTAGTTATTATTTTAAGCCTAAACTCCTGAATTTCTTGTGAACTGATATGTACACCTGATCAGTATGCCATTGTTTAAAGAGTTTTCTTAAACCTCAAATATTGTATCCCTAATCTTTGTAAGCTAAAAGAATGTAATTTGGGGGAACTGTTTGGATATTAATTGCATCAACATGCTGGTGATAAGGTTAAAAACCACTCACAATCTCCTTCTTACAATTTCAAGACTGAAAATCCTTAAAACCTAAGATCTGCATGTTTAGTTCAAAGCTCTATAAAGAGAACCTATTGAAAGCAAGATATTAATACAAATTAATAAAAATATGATTTTTGCAACATATGAAATACTTATAGTTGAATCAATATATTCCGTGTTTAACTATCAAAGCTAACAAAAAATTCTGTAACTTAGCCCCCTCCCTCTTTTCTTCCCTCTTCTCTTTCATTTCAAATTCACGGTGCTTGGCAGCATGCAATTGAAAGGAGAGGAATATTAATACACAGAAAGACACAACACAAACTGCTTCTCAGAGCTTTGAGAACTAAGGTCCATCATAGCCCCACAGAACTGTCTAGACTTTCGTGTTAAAATCTTTCATTTGTCCTTTTTGTTTCTAACCTAGTTTTCAAATCTCCCATAATTCTAAACATTCATTTGCTTTAATATATTTATATGCCATTATTTTCATGGTCGAATATAGAGGTCAAATTTACATACAGTGAAATGCACATCCTGTGCCACCCATCCTCTAATTAAAATATGGAAGAGTTCCATTACCCTAAAGCTCCCTTGCACCCTCTCCCAGTTAATCCCCATCCCCAATAAGCAACTGCCCTTATTTCTACCATCATAAATTAATTTTGTCTGCTCATAAACCTCATATAAATAAAATCATACAGCATGTACTTTTTTGTGACTGGCTTTTGTTTTGTTCAACATAATGCTGAGACCTATACAATTGAATATATCAGAAGTTCATTTTTTTTCCTTTAATTGCTGATGAGTATTTCATGGTATGGATACACCATAATTTGTTTATCTATTTTCCTGTTGATAGACATTTAGATGGTTTCCAGTTTTGGGCCACTATGAATAAGGCTGCCATAATAATTCTTTCACAGGTACTACTGTAAAAGTGTTTTCACTGCTGAATTATAAAGTAGGTAAACAGTTAATTGTATAAGGAACTGCCAAAAAATTTTGCAGAGCAGTTGTAATATTTTATAATCACACCATCAGTACAGGAGACTGTCATATCCTCATTAACTTTTGGCACTGTCTGGCTACAACAGCAGCCATTCTGGTGGGTGAATAATGACATGTAATTATGGCTTTACTATGTATTTCACTAGTGACATTCTCCCTAGTAATACTGAGTACATTTTCATGGGCTTACTGGCCACTTATAGATCTTTTTTTGCAAAATGTCTGTTCAAGTCTATTTCCCATTTTTAAATTGGATTGTCCTTTCATTATTGATTGGTAGAGTTTGTTATATATTCTGGAAACAAAAAATCCTTTGTCACATATATGCATCTCAAATCTTTTAACAGCGTAGCTTGCCTTTTCATTTGAATTTTCTTAATAAGCATAAGTTTTTAATTTTGAGAAGTCCAACTTATTTATTTTTATACTTAGTGCTTTTTGTATAGTCTCTAAAAATGTTTGCCTACACTAAGGTTGTGAATTTATTCTATATTTTGTTCTAGGAGCTTTTTTATTTTAGCATCTAATTTTAGGGCTATGAATCACTTTGAATTAATTTTTTGGGTGGTCAAAGGTATTTTTGTTTTTAACTTTTATCCAGATATTTCAGCACTACTTGTTGAAAAAACTGTTCTCAATAAAAATTAGTTAGAAAATGTAATTATTTTAAATAAAAATGTTATTTATGTAAACATGTAATATTTTTAAGAAACTTCCCAGTTTTAATTTCTAGTATGATAAATAGTGATAGACATATAAACAAAAGCCCTTTGGGATCCTCCTAATTTGTAAGAGGGTCCCAAGACTCAAAAATTTGAGAAGTGCTGCTCTGAGAACAACACCCACAACCTCCCCTTGATACACCCTCACTAACTCAAGGACATTACCAAGTAAAGTTCCTTCAGATGTCCCCGCTCTGTCCTACACCTGTCTTTATTTTAGCTAAGGCACTGCAGCCTTTTCACCACCAGTGCAATGTCAACATGGTGAGGAAGACAAATAAGGTCTTCACATCCTTATTTCCTTGGAAAGGTCTCAGGAACCCCTTTTGAGGGCTGCATGGACCACACTTTGAGATCTACTACACTATGCTGCTCCGATTTTCATGATTATGAAAAACCTATGCCTCCAGGGATACATTTTGTGTCTTCATACTTCTTAGGACCAGAAAGGAGGGAGTAAGGTATAAATGAAAAATCTAAAGAACTTAGAGACAATCTGAGATTTATAGTAATATTTTTCTTCTTAGTAGCTATGTGAGTGACTGTGGGGAAGTCAAATTACTTTCTCTGTATTTCAGTTTCCACATCTATAAAAAAGAATAATATAACCTTCTGCAGAGAAATTTCTGCACTAATGAGAAGCTTCTGAAAGTATGGTATGGTGCTATACAAATGTTTTTAAATTTTCATTATCTTAAATGTCCTGAGATTACCTAAACTAAAGATAAGAAGGAAACTCAGTAAAGAGATAGCGTAAGAGAAAATGCAGCTTAAGTCAAAGAAATAGTGGCCTACAGGTAATGTGACATCAGGGCTTGAGAATGAATTGCAAAATAATACTGCATAAAGCTGCAAGTAGAATATAATTGTACATACCACTATTTGACATTTGAAAGAGATTGTTCTTTTCAAACTTCTTGAAAACACTTCCTTTAATTTCAACAAACTGAAATAGTAAGCAGAGATACCACTTTTATCATTATAACAGCTTTAAAAATGGACATGCTACATACAAAATTTCCTAGAGAATAAATAACATAAAGAACAAAGAATTTTATCTCATCCTGAATATTGCTGCTAAAGCACCTGTATAACCTCAAAAATGTAAAAGAAAATCTTATACTTACATTATTAGACATCATGATAGTAAGCAGCGACTTGTTGTGTGAGTTAAAAGCTACATTGAGAGTTGTTGCTTGAACCATTATAAGAATTGCATGCAAAACTAACAGTCTGTCAAGGAAAAACCAGTGTGTTTTCATATTGTATTAACAGATAATACTATAAAATTCTGAAACTGAATAATGGGGAAAAAGATGACTATGCTTTCTAAATTAAGTCTTACATTTATTATCTTCCTAATTTCCCCATCAGCTATAGTTGATATACATTTGACAGGATAATATGTATGCAATCCAAATAAAACAAAAGTAGAAACAAACCTCCATGCATCCATTTATTAAGACTGTGAGTCCTTTGCAACAGAGTTATTTTGTTCTTTCTGCATCTCTGGGACTTGGCACAGTGCTTGGGAAACAGCCCCTCAAAGAAGTTTGTTAAATAAAAGAAATAAATTATGGTAAATACTGAAAGAAGAAACTTAAAACTATATATTCTGAACTAAGAAAATTTGTATTCTAAAGAACACAAAATAGATGTAAGTCTGGAAGTGATTTTCTTCTCTGGTTCTTTAGGGGACATGGAATGTAAGACAGTAAGAAATGTCTAATAATTAAGATTATTCCTTGTATGTCATTTTGAAGTATCCATAAGCTGCAGAACTATATTCATATCACATGTGGAATAGTTAATTAATATCTTAGAATGGAAACTGTTTTTCTCTTTTAGAACTGCAACAAGATTTTACCCTTACAGGTTATCTTTCCACTTAGTCTCTAATTTCTCAAGCATTAACCCAATTTCTTTCAAGTGTCACTCTTTCAGAAAGAGTAAGAAAAAAATGTGTCATATAACTGTGAATGAGTCCTGACTCCATACAGAACATAAGGATAGGTGTGTATATGTGTGAAATGTATATGAATGGGTACATACACACATGCCCACTATTTATATAGTAAAGCATTTACTCTCCAGACGAAAAGCTTTAAGCCAGGGACACATGCATGTTCGTGCATGTAGCCATGCACGCACATACCCGCTCCCCCCACCACCGCCAAAATTCCTCCCAACTAATTTCACGTTTTACTTTCCAACCCAAGGTTATAACAAAGATTTCATAGATTTAAAGATAATTTCAAGAAAAATTATAATATAAATTTGAAAAAGTTACATACTCATACATCTATATAAATACACTAACTTCATTATAAAATCTTTCCTTATAATCAGTTACATTGAGAATAGAACTGTTTTCTAGTAGCTCAAAGGGTTGTGCATAAATGAAGCTCTTTAATTTATAATTACTATTATAACCAATTCCTCAAAAGGAAGCACACATTTCACATCAATCTTCAGAATACACACAGACATATAAATCTTTTAATCTGTGAAATGGCTAATCAAATAAAATAAGGTATAATATCCACCGACTTTTAAAATTTCCAATAAGTCTAGAAGGATACAGACATAGAGAACGGCCATGAAAAAGTGAGGAATCACCCCAATATGGGCTCTTTTTCTTTCTTTAGGTTCTGTTGCTGTCCAATAGAGAGCATCTAATATATCTTGTCCAAAAGATGAAAACAGACGATCAGCAACCTAAAAAGGAAAATTATTAGAAAAGTGTTTATATTCCATTTAAGTATGTTACTAAAATTCAAATGCAACTCAAATACTAGAGATCCACTAATTTAGAACCTAGTAGAAGGTCATCTCGAGAAGAGCAGGGATCTTTGTTTACTTATTCATGGTCGTATTTCTTTATTTTCTGACACATAGTGAATGCTCAAATATTTGTAGAATTTGAATTAGGTTTTGTCTAATTAGCTATGCTGGTAACATGGAAAGTCTTACATAGTGGCAAAAATAAAAGGGGTTGAGAGCACATCAAAATAATGTTCTTCTGGTTTCAGCCCTTTAAGTTTAGACTCAGGACTCAAACTTAAAATTCTTTATTCACACTTAATACTTGTAAAGAACATTCACTGTTTTTGTTTGAGGTTCATTATATGGAATATAATATTCATTTTAGTTCCTAAATACTTTTTTCAGGTATCAATCTCTTTCAAAATAGTATAACAAATTAAAAGAGGTACTTAAAAAAGAAAAAAAAGAGGGCATTGTATTATTCAGGATCCAGCTGGAACACCACATCCTGAGAGAGGCCTTTCCCGGATTATCCAATCCCTTGTGCTTCCTACAGTCTCTACTGCATTACCCTGTTCTTTTCATCATAGTATTTATCATTTCCTAATATCTCCTTGTTTACTGTCTATCCCGCCTGAAGAATATAAGCTCCACAAGAACAGGCTTGATCAGCTCTGGATCTTTAGGGTCTAAGATGGTACTTGGCATGCAGTAAGTGCCTATTAAATGTAAGCAAATGAATACATTCAATTCACTACCATTTAGGGAGCTCTTACCACACGCCTGGCACCATGCTAAGCCCTTTCTAAGTATTGTCTCATTTATCCTCATAATCCCCCTAGTATCTCCACTTTACAGGTGGGAAATTGAGGATTAGAGATATTCAGCAACCAGCCACTGTGTCAAGGATAAGCAGGTAATAAGGGGAGGAGCCAGGATTTGATCAGAGGTAGTTTGTCTCTAGGCTACAGCCTGTACTCTTGCCCACCATGCTTAAACCAAACCATCAACTGTCGTCTACAAAGTGAGTAAGTATTGAAGCCATTTTAATCAGAAATTCATGGATCCTTTTTCTTGGCCTGTTTTCTAGCAACAACACTACAACTACCTTGGAGAGGGCTTTGCAAGCCAAGAGACGCACACACTAAGTGTGGGAGCAGGGAGAAGCCCTTGTTCCCTGCAACCCCCTAAGAGGAAAAGGCAGTAGAGGAGACTCACAGGGCACTGGCATGAAGAGCAATGCAAACAGAAGAAGGTAAAAGGGCTGCTTTCTGCAGGAGGGAGAACAAGACGGGCTACTCTGTTTCACAAACTTCATCCACACCCACCCCTTGGCATCCTATTTGAGGACAGGGTTGAGCAAGCAAGTGTACGGGCAGCGAGTCTAGAATCAGGAAGCTGGAGTGTGGTTTTAAAACACCTTGGCCAATGAGCTTAGGAGTGACCAGGATGGCTGGAGTCCCATGGTTTCTGTGAAGATGGAAAGTCCTTGGCTACCATGTGGTACAGCTTCAGGGAGAAAGGCCAGAGCCTCCATATTACCCCATCTGTCCATCCACTAAGAAAAAACTCTTCCTGGCTAATTTACAAGATGGGTAGACCTTACCTGTGTTCCTAAAAAATAGTATAGAAAAATGCAATTTGAATTTCAAAGTTTGTTATACAACCTAGGGTAGCTTACTATTTAAAAAACTTACTAAGATTCTGCCTATACAGCAAAGAATTTTTCTGCAAAGTGAATCTGTAACTGCTTAATTTATTTTTTGTATAAATGCAGATTTTCACATGCTGACTGCTTTAAAGTGACATACACTATATTAAAAACATCAAATACTTGGAGAAATTGGGAAAGTTTACTTGCTAAATGTAAATCTATTACAGCAAACATATACCTAATAATATTTTCTTCATAATTTTTAAAGTTTTAGCAAAAAGTACAAATGGATTTCCCATGAATGTGCAAAACAAATTTGCCTAGTATTTGACAATTTACATTTTCAGGGGGGAACTGACTCAAACACGTCTAGGCAGCAGGTATCCTTCCTGTGTACCATCATGCCCTGGGGACTTGCTACCATAAGTGTGTCCCAGGACTTGCCACTGTAAGTGTGTCCCAGGACCAGCAGCGCAAGCACCGCACCTCTCTAGAAATAGATTCTCCAGCCCTACACCAGACCTACTAAATCAAATTCCATGTTTTAACAAGATGCCCAAATGACTATACGCACACTGAAGGCCAGAAGCAACAGCACTAGAGTTGGCAGAAAAGCATTCTTGACTCTCAGGCCCCTTCTGTATTGGAAGACTTGAAGTCATGCACACAGGCCAGGGCTGTGCAGGTGGTGGGCCACACTGGCCACAGTGGGGTCAATGAGCGTCCTTACCTCCAGCATGTTGTAGATGATGTAGAGCTTGATGACTGACTGCCCCCTTATCAGGTGGTACATCATGGAGTAGTCAACATAGTGCATCATAAAATAGCAGATTACCAAAATGACACCCTTCAAAATGTCACACACCTGGGCAGGCTGAAGCAAACGTCTATCCCTGAAACATATAAGAAGTAATAAAAATATGAGTTTCAAATTATATGTAAAAAAAAAACCAAATAATTTTTACACATTGGCATACAAAGGTAACGAGCATTAGGTTGATCTTTTCAAAACTTCAAACCAACAAGGAAAGTAACACTAAGTATGAAATTTTCTGCCTAGGTACAGAATATAAAAATGTTAAACCAGAATTACTATTAGAAGTTGGCAATCTTAATAAGCAAACAGAGGGTCGGCATGTGCACACAGAGTGCTTTAAAGCAACGGCTTTCTGAAGTTCTTACAACAAGAAAATGGAGGGGACACACCTGGGTGGGAGGGGGGAGAGGGAGGAGGGAGGGAGGTTTCGGTGATGGGACACAATAACTAACTACATTGTATATTGACAAAATAAAAATAATAAAAAAAATAAAATAAAATAAAAAAATAAAGCAACGGCTTTCCATGATTGACATGAACCTCTAACCTAACCATGAAGCCCTGTAGCCTGCTAAGTCAGCCCTTTCTACACAATGTCAGCATTATATGCACATTGTTCTGGACCTTGTACTTTTTATTTAACATCATAACAGATTTTCCCATACTGGTTTGTGGAGGGTATTAACATTAGTAAAGCACATGTATTTCACAGGGCCTTAACCTTTAGCTTAGCAGGGCCACAGCCCTTAGATTAGAAGGACCAAAGTCCTTAGATCAGGCTGTAGCTTAGTAAGATCTTTATCTTAGTAGGACAACAGTCCTTAGCTGTTAGAAGGCCCAAAGCTCTTTAGTTTAGGTTGTAGCATAGTAGGACCACAGTCTTCAGTTTTAGCAAGGCCAAAGCCTTGTAGTTTGAGGAATAACCTAACCTTTTAGTATTGCACATAGAAATGCTAAGCTTGGGAAAAAACAGAAAACTTTCACAGGACTAAAAATTCTCTGGTATGGATATGAAAATTGTAACACAGCAAAAGTGCTTGGCCTAAGGGCAGATGCCCTTGGTGCAGCTAAACCTAATGATGGGAAAAGAATATATGCTAAAAGCTTCAAGGCTACTCTGCCAACTAGTGGTTGGTTCCACATTTCACCTTCAACTGTTTTCAGTTTCCTAGGGAACAAAGTGTTGCCATAACAATTATCTCATTGGTTCTTTTGTATGTCACATAGCTTAGTTTTACGACTCCTTTGATGGTAAATTAACTTAAACTATTCTTAAGTTGCACCTGCTTTAATGAAAATTGTTATGTAGCCAGTTTGTTGATATTTTCACTATGACTGATTAACCACCTGTGTTTTCTGTAACTTTCTTGGCTGGACAAAAAAAAGGAGAGAAAACCTAGTTCGGGGCTATTTTCTGAGGAATGCTTCTCTCTTAAAGAAGTCGTTTCCTGGAATTAACCCCTTCTGGGCCTCTCACTGCTCTGGAAAAATGGGCTTTGAGTAATCCTTTGCATCTCCATCACTCTGGGGGAGAGGTGATATTGGTTCATAAGAAACTCATATTTTTCTGACAGTGCAGTGTTTCACTATGTGGATGTACCATAATTTATTTAACAAACCATTTCCAGATTTCTAATCTTTAGCAATATAAACCATGGTGCAATGTATATGTCATGTCTCAAATATGAAAATATATTTGCAGGATAAATTCCTAAAATTGGAATTTCAAGGTTGTATTAACTTGATATTTTGATAGAAATGACTCAACTGCCCTCTGTAGAGGTTGTACCTCCACTAGCAATGTTATGAGAAAGCCTATAACCCATGTGCATCATCACAGTGTTTGATTAACTTTTAAATCCCTGCCAATTTCACTGGGGAAAAATGGTATCTAGTGTAGTTTCAATGTTAATTTCTTTTTTCTTTTTTTTTTTTTTTTTTGTCCTTTTTGAGACCGGCCGCACTGCGCTCAGCCAGTGGGCGCTGTGAGCACACCAGTCATCCCTATATAGGATCCAAACCCGCGGCGGGAGCACTGCTGCGCTCCCAGCGCCGCACTCTCCCGAGTGCACCACGGGCTCGGCCCATCAATGTTAATTTCTATTAGGAGACTAAACATCTTTTTTATATATTTAAGGATTATTTACATTTCCTGTGAATTTTCTCTTCATATCTTTTTTGTACTGGCTAGTCCTCTGTGACTTGAGTTGAAATATTTTTTTTCCCTAATATGACCAAAGAATCATTCCTTACTTCTGAGGTTAGAGTATGAAGAGCTAAACCTAAATTGGGGGGGGGGGGAACCTTAAGACACAGCAAAAAATACATTAGAAAAGAAAATATTTAAGACTTCTTCCACTAGATATAACATTCCTATGACAAGAATGGGAAGGATGCTTTATCTATCTACATATGTCAACTGCAGGCTGACACCTTAAGACAGAAAATGCAGTCTCCTGTTTGGGCAGCTTTTATGTATAGTGCATTCAATCAAAAGGCTTGAGTATTTTCCTTAGGTGCTACAGAATCTGTTTATTTTCACCAATCATGACAATACTCTGAGCAACAATATTAGGGGGCGCTCATCTGCTAATCAGCCACTGGCCTTCTGAGCCATCTACGCATTTGCTATTTCATGGCTATGTATGCTCTGGAGCTCTTTCTAACCCTTGTCCACATTCAGATCAGGGGCTCTTTTCTTCCAAAGATCCTTGCAGAGTTCAACAAGGAATCTGTGTCTTCCAGCTGTTACACTGCTTTATGATATGATGATGACGTAATACCAATTGTGTGAGCAGTTGTTACAGAACCTCACTCCTGTTTTCTACATGTATGCTATACAACCTTTTCAGTTAGGTATGAATTTGGTTCATTTGCTTACAGACAGAATATGGGATACTACAAAAGTCTGGGAAAGAGGCAAATTCTTTGAAGACTATGCATAGGAAGGACTAGAAGTAGATGGGAAGACACTGAGTTGAACCAACAAGCATAAATGGGAAACAGGTCAGAATTTGTCTAAGTCAAATCACCTATCCTGAGACAGGCAGGAAAAACCAAGTGAAATTATTCTTAGTAGTTGAAGTTAGGGCTTTGGGCAAAATTGCATTAAACACTTTGATCAATCTTTATGATTATTTTTCTGTGACCCCGACTTTCTCTTCTCTAACTCTGTTTTTCTCTCTCCCAGACATACTCTGGCCCTTTTCTCCTTATGGAACCCAGAGTGATCCTCATCTCCCACCTCCCAAACACACATCCCAGAGCACAGATCTCTGCCAAGGGCCATCTGACTATCAAGGTCATTTTCTATCCCACTCCCACAAGGTTGAAAATGGAAGAGCTATTACACCTGTCTAGAGTTGGATCTGATCATTTAAACATACTTCTAATTCAAACACTGAGAAAAGGACACACTGTGAACACTCTTGAGCTCCTGGCCTGTGTGTGACTTCCTCCGCTGGGATGGCAGGAAACAAACTCTGAGGCATCAGTGAGGATGCTGTCCCACCCCACCATCAAGTGTGGGCACAGCTCAGCATGCACTGAAAATCACACACCACCTATAGTTGTGGCCCTCTGTATTTAGGAACTATAGGTCATGTTTTACAAAATAGGTCAAAGAAAATGATAGGAACTAAAAATAGGGTAGCATTAATTAATTTGCATTAATTTCCAAAATGATGTTGATAACTAAAGTAGAAAACTATACTTACAGCTTTTGGGACTGTACTGGCATCTACTTAGTTAAGTGATCTCAGTCAAAGCAATTTTATTTAAGAGATAAAGGGCTCGGGCTGAGCCCGTGGCGCACTCAGGAGAGTGCGACGCTGGGAGCACAGCAGCGCTCCCGCCGCGGGTTCGGATCCTATATAGGGGTGACCAGTGTGCTCACAGCACTCACTGGCTGAGCGTGGTGCGGCCGGTCTCGAAAAGGACAAAAAAAAAAAAAGAGAGATAAAGGGCTTTTTTGGTATATATCCAGTTGCATTTCTTTATAAACATATTTACAACAAAACAATGTGCTAGCATATCTATGAAGGAATATTATATTTAATACAAGTCATTGTTAGAAATTAGATCTACCAAACATTGTAAATACATATCCCAAAATAATATAATACCACACTCTTTGAAACAAGGTAAGTTAAAATTTTAAAATTAAGAGTCAACAACTTAATTTAGTTTTATCTTACCTAGGATTAAACTAGGTTGTAAAAACAAGGAAAAGTTGTAGAAATACCTTATGCTACACTTTTCAGTTACTATGTGGCAGGCACTGTTCTAAGCACTCTGCGTATATTCATCTAGTGTTCACAGTAATCCTATAAGAAAAGTACCATCACCATCCCAATTTTACAGATGAGGCAAGGGGCAGTCCAGACATGCCTGCGATGGTACGGTTAATAAGTTACTATGTGGTGGAGCAGAGATCAGAATCTTGGCAGTCTGGTTCCAGAAGGCATGCTCTTCATTACTTTCTATACTCTAGACTTTTTAAAAAAGAACTTCTAAACTTATAGAATCAACAACTCAGGACCTTTTAGTAAAAGTTTAACACTATAATTTGTCATTGTACTGTGATCTCGTTTGGAAAATTATTGTGCTAAAAACCAAATACATCTATCGTTTTATTCTTTATTTCTAAAAACACATGCAGAAAAAATAGGACTACATATATTCCTTTGGATCCACTGCTTCCTGTATGTCCTCTGCTCTGGTGACAATCTTCCATTGCTAACATCATAATTGGTTCCTACAGAGATGACTGTGATTTTCAAAATTAAGAAATATTATTCAAATAAAGAATAAAAGAAGCAGAACTCTTGAGAAATGAGGGTCTTGTTTTCATATAAATGTATCTGTTAATGAAAAAGGAAAGTTGCAAAAATAAAAAATTGTTTCTGAGGTGGTGTCTTAAAAGACATCTGTGCATACCATAGACTTCCTATAAAAAGACCTAACCTCAAAAATAAGTTTACCTGGTTAAAACAAGTTGAACCAATCACAGTATTTGTTTCTTCTCTGCCAGGATATTTTTATTTTTATTTATTTATTTATTTAATTTATTTATTA